TTTAAATAAAAAGTAATTTAAAAGTAATTGAAATAGTGAGAAATGTTTCTTATATATGGTAAGCAAGGTAAAAGGAAAGATCAAACAATCAAGTTTTAATCTCTCATACCAACTAAATGCTGGCTACACAGAAGGTTTTCAGCCAACTTCTCTTTGAAAAAACAACCAAACAGTTCAATGCAACCTACGACCAACAGTTTAAATGTTTCACTGTCTTGATAGAAACTATTGGCAGCAGGCTGTCTTGATCCATTTGGTTATTTTTGGGATTAAGGGGTGGTTAAAAGTGGTTAAAATTGCCTCAACATTGCAATGTTTATGGCCAATCTCTTTCATCTTCATTATTGACCCATCATGGCCTAATGTTGGCATTACACACAGCAAGAATTCAAGAATTTCAACCACCTCAAACACATGAACCATAGCACCATGTTTCCCTTACAAATTACAAAATATAAACCCTTGGTAAAAGACGGATTTGATCTATTTGATTGCTGTTGCAACTGAAAGTTGGTTCAAGACAGTAGAACGTATACCTAGATTGCCATATGCATGGCTTGCATGGTAAAAAATAAAAGATAATCAATGGAATTCATGAAGAGTGGCACAGACACTATACGGCAAATGCCAGTGAGTGCAACAGATAAATATACATGTCAGAAAAATGTACATGAATTTTTTGCAAAGCCTGCAGGATCTGTAATCTGCAGTCTGTACAGACCTATAACGTACAATGTATATAGGCCTCTTACCTCCTATGTCAGGAGAGTGGACACATGTCTATGATTCCAGCTATTTGCCTGGCTGCCAGTGTCCTAGCAATAAAGAACACTGTGCTGTGAGGCTGCCATTGTCAGTTGGTGCTCTTGCAATGCAGCGCCTTTGGTTGCTAGGATGTAGGCAATGAGGCTGCCAGTGTCCTAGCAACTAGTGTCCTAGCAACTAGTTTAGCACTAGTTAAAGTGACAGTATTAACACTAGAAGAGTGTTGCAAAAGCTATATTAAATCACACTCTCTTCCACCATCTGTATGGTTCACTTACAGGTTCTATTTCCACTTTCTCTGCCGTTGCCTTAAAATTTTTTTTTTTATTGTAAGCTCTTCTGCCTTCCTTAACAGTCCCCTAAGCTGGACATACATGTTACAGTCTGTACAATCATTACGAGGTCCTACTGATAAGATGAAAACTAAATGCATTGATTAAGTAGGAGCTTACACTACATGTGTAGCTGTTACAATAGTTTAATTCTGTTATTTATTGTCTTGGGGTTGAATAATGAGTTGCCTACTTGTAAAGCAGTAGCCACTGTTTTATTCACATCAATACTGAATAAGAGTAGTTTTATAGTCTCTTTATGAATGTTATTTCAGTCTTGCATACAGCTTATTTCTATGTTAAAAGGTAGTGTTGTTGCCCCATGAACATGTTTGTTGTTATTTATATGGTCAAACAGTAAACAATTATTAGGAATACACAGAAATTTAGTCCGCCAAAACATATCGGCCGAAAATTGCACTTTTGGCCATCCTTTGACCAAAATTGCGGGTCATGCCTGGTTTCTCTTCTCTCTGCTGGTTATTGCTCTGTTTCCCCTCTGAGAGAAACTGTCACCGGAGGCTGATCAGTGCGGGGGATGAGAGCTCTGCATTTAGCCTCCTGTGACAGGTCAGGAGAGCTGTGTGTGGTTAGCTGTCATAGGAGGCCGGGCTGGCAGTGCGGGGGAGGAGTCAGCTGTCACAGGAGACTGAGTTCTCCTCCCAGCACTGCTTGCTCAGACTCCCGTGACAGCGAGTTAGGATGGAGAGGGGGTACAAGCACTAAATAATTAAGGACATAGTAGGTTTACTGTGTCCCCAATTATGAATGAATGGTAAGTTATCTACATCACTTCCTGTTCATTCATGATTGTGTACATGGTAATTTTTTAATAAAAATAAATAAATAAATGAAAATAAATATTTTTGAAAAAATTGAAAAGGTTAGAATATTTTTTTTCTGTTTTGGCCTGACATTTTTTTTATTTTCATTTTGTTTCAGTTTTACAAATGTCATTTCTGTGCACTTCTACAATGAATATCTTCTTGGACGCTTTCACCTTATGGTTTGGTGCCCATTTTTGTATGCTTACATTTTGAGGCACAAATGAATCATGGGAGCCAATCAAAAATAGGTACAGTGATATATTTTTAAAATATGCTCATGTTTACCATTAGCAGCATAAAGGATATTTTCAGTTGCTTTTATTTCAATTTTAAGCTGAAATCTGGGTTAAACATATTTAGGGGGATTTATCAAAACTGGAGCAGAAGAATCCGGAGCAGTTGCCCATGGCAACCAATCAACTTCTCTCCTCAGTTTGTTCACTTAAGGTTTGAAAATGAAAGGTAGATTCTGATTGGTTGCTGTGCACAGCTGCTCCAGATTTTGCCTAGTCCAATATTAATACATTCACTGACTGACTATGTCTAAATATCATAGGTATGTGTACACTGAATATTGGTGTCTCTTGTGTATTTCTTTCAAATCTATACAGTAATACATCATGAAACAACACCCTCACTTTGCCTCTGGGCAGAAGCTTCATGTAATAAAAATCAATTACTTATGTTCTCTCTTCTTGTGCAGATGGACTAGTCCCGTTTCCTCTCCTCTGTAGTTTTCTGAAGGCAACGTAAGTGGAAGTACAGTGATGATATTGTTAACTTTTTTTAACCAAATAGTATTTAGGTTTGCAAAGGCAAGTGGATTAATTAAGTTGTTGTGTCTTTTTAGGAATATATTAAAAGTAAAAAGTATTTGTGCCCACATTTCAGATTCACCTTTAATAAAAATCAAGGGTTAAAAGCTGGAGGAGCAACTCTCTGCTATATCTATATTCTGGGGTGGGGGGGTTAACTTCCAGAGTCTCAACTGAGATCCATGGTAGTAAATGGACCTTGGGTTTTTGGAAAATGCATTAGATGCTTTATTCATAAGTTAATTCATTTAGTATTATAAAGTCAGGTCTTGAGACAGGGTCCATTTTATGGACTCCCTTCTTGAAGCACCAGCTTTCTGCTAAAAGGCACACAAACTGGTGTCAGTCTCTGCAACAGGGTAGGATTTACAATTAGGGATGGTAGACCTGTGCCTAAAGGCAGCAGAGTTGAAGAGGCAGCTTTTCCTTAAAAAAGATACAAGCTATGCTGCATTTTTTTCTTTAATCAGTATCCTTGGGTCTACTTTGGCAAGCAAAAGAGACATAAATCAAGTAACCAGTATGGCTAGTAACCAAGAGCAAAAGGATATTATACAACAGAAAAGATACAGAAAAGAACTGACGGAATGCTGATCATGAACCAAAATTGTGTCAGGTTCAAGGCAGTGGTCAGGACAAGAGACGTAGTCAAGAATCTAACAGGGTGGTCAAATAACAGTCAACAAGTTACGGGACAGATTCATAAAAGCAGTATTGGATGCATACACCAAATTCTAGTCCAAATGCTGGAACAAAAAGAGTCTGGAAGTTCAAGTAATTTCTGACTAACTCACATAATGCAGCAGGAGCTTAGGGAGGGCAGAAAATTTTTAAAGTAAAGAGTGAGAAACACAGAACATTTACTTGTATAGAAATGTTGAAGTTCCCCCTATGTTCAAGCATTGGATAATGACAAAGCCAGGTTTTTAAATTTAAATAGAGACTCAGCATCTCCACCCTAAAAACAAAAATGTAATATATTGCAGCTTACCAGTCCTTAGAATTGGTGGCTGCATTAGTATTCTCTTTTTCAAGCTAAGAACATTTTTAGCAAGTACAGAAAATAGCTGTTGACCTTGCTAGAAATGCCATTGTCCTTGTTGCTTCCTATGAGTGGCAAAGAGAGCATAAATAATGTTCTCTCTTTTGTAAACCACTGGTACCATCAATCTACCATCTAATGGTCATGGTTAAATTCCAGCCTGTGTGACAACCATAGCCCCCACCAAAACTACTATGGAGTTGTGAGTGCAGCCACTCAGGTGCAGGAAGTGTGTTATTCACAGTATTGCTAGATCAAAATAAAGGGGAACAAGTCTGAAAAGGAATGTAGCCACAACATCTAAGGGCCATTAAGCTGCAATGTATAAAATGTTTGGCTTTGCGTTTAGAATTGCTTTAATTGGGTGGTGTCATTGGAAGGATATGTCACAAAGGCATAGGTGCTGGGATAGTATTGGTAGGAGAAGTGCACATGTGGTAAGAGAGTAGAAACAGGAGTTGGAGAGTGGTATATATGTGGGATTTCTCTAATCCTCTATAGATGTAAACTGTGCAAGCCGCAGTATATGGAACCAAAGCGAAGTATGGCTGGTCTCCTGAATGTGCCAGACCTCCTCCTCCTACAAGACCAGTTGGATTTTAGCAGAATGAGGCACTACATAGACTTTGCATTTGTTACATGTATAAAATGTCTCTTGCTCTGGCCCTGCAGTTGCAAGATAAATAGATAAACTGGAAAAGCCATTGCGGTGTAGTTATGCCAGTTTATCAAGAGCATGTAAATTGTTTCTGAGTCTGAAGGCAATAACTAACTGCACAACTGTGATTGTAAGGAAGGGGATAGTGTTGGCTATAATAGTATCTTTTTTCCAGATTGTGTGTTTGAGTACAGGATTACACACTACAGTTAACAATGAGTTGAGAATATGTTAAGAGAAACATAAAATAGTTTACCAACATCTTTACTAATATACTTAAATAAGCCAGTTATTGGGCATTGTGGTCTTATAAATGTTATATGCTACACCTTGCTAGGTCAGGTACCCAATGTTGCTGTCTTAGAACATTTAAAGTTGGTACCCAATGTTGCTGACTTAGAATATATACAGTAAAGTTGGTTTTATTTGCCATGGATGAATTTATATAAAAATATTTTTTTACATATGCACACATGGTATTAGGCAGTGAAATAACCAAATAAGATATATATTCTATAATGAAATAGAATAATTACAATATAGGATAAATAAATAACTTACCTAGTGGGTATCTTAATTCTCAGATATCTGTCGATAGATACTGCCAGCAGAGATAGGATGGATGCATTGGTTAATATAACCATGAGGCAGCACATAAACAAACAGCTGTAAAAGGGTAACACCATTCCTAGACTAACTATGATGGCCAGTGGCATAACCAGGACTCCAACAGCAAGATCAGCAAATGCCAATGAAACAATGAAGAAAAAAGTTGTGTTCTGGAGGCTTGAGTTTATTTTCACAGCCCAGATGACCAAGATGTTGCCTAAGATAGCGGATATTCCAATCACAGTTTCCACTGCAATGTAGGCTGTGCTGTACGATAGATCAGTCTTATTTGCCATTTCCAAAAGTGCGGTCACATTCATTGACTTTCAAAGTGAAGAAAAGCATAATAGGCTGACAATAAAAATTAAATGTTACTTTGCGTGTGCTTCATTCTTTCAATGGACTTACTAGGAAAAATATTCTGCTTGCTCTTCTTTGCAAACAGGAAAAGAGAAAAAGCTCTTGTCGCAACCACACTTCCTACTGATCATTTAAAATATATAAAAGGTTAAATCCTGCTGCCATTCCTGCTTGTCTTATAGGAAGTTGCTGCTGTGCTTTCAAATGAAAAGGAGCTGCAGGATGCTCTACCTCTGTTTGGAGGTGGAAGCTGACACTTACTTTGGTTATTTGTTATTAGAGAACTAAAATTATTCCGGAAACCAGTTTCATTTCATCAGGTGCCACAAATGGTTTTAAGCATTAAAAAAAAAAATGAGGAACTTACTATCTGGCACAGTAAGCACAATGCACCATAATCACTTTTTGTAGAAAGTTCTGTGGAACTCAAGGTAACATGCAAGCTTCATGTTAGGCCCCATTGAAGTGAAGTGGGACGTACAGAAAGAAGAACAATAATAAAGAGTTAGAGAAAATATTACAGTGTAACTGGGTAAAAAAATTATCAAGTAATCAGATATAAATCAAAACATGGGAATACAAAATCGTGTACAAATTCTTTGTGCACATGTAATAGTAGCAGGATTATCCAAACACAAATATAGGGAACAAAAACTTTAAAAAAAAAACTAAAAAAAAGGGAAGAGAGAGAGAAAAAAAAAAACCAAATAAATAAAAAGAGAAATGAGACAAGTGTGAGAGAGAAGAGGGTGCACAGAAAAAAGAGTGACCTGCCTCTACCACAAGGCAACTCATAACTCCACCATGCAACAATATACACCACACCATGTACACGTCAATACATTAGTGCATATATCCACAGTGCTGTGAATGTATACTCCACACCGACTATTCTTCCGCGATCTCATTTTCCTGGTCAGCCCACAGGTAAAGGACAGGTAAAGATAAATAGAAAACATAATGAGATGCATATGAGGGTTTAAGGTTGGTCTTAGGTTTATTGGCATCATGTGTGAAACTGTAATTTGGTGCAACCAACAGAAGGGTGTATAACATGGAGCTGTGTAGAGTATACAGTGTATAGGACATTGAGTAAAGTGATATGCAGTAAGGAGTGTACAGACTCAAATGGCATATACAGTATAGTGTGCAGCACAATGATCATTGTTATCAATTAACAAAATGGAAAGTGGCCACCTTTTGCCTTCAAAACAGGATCAATTCTTCTAGGTACACTTGCACACAGTTTTTGAAGGAACTTGGCAGGTAGGTTGTTCCCAACATCTTGGAGAACTAGAAAAGAAGGACTAGTATGTTGCGCTTGGTTTGATTAATCTATTTGGTTTTGAATGCCCTCATATATCCCTCATATATATATCATTAAACTGTAAAATAATTACAGTTTACATACTAGTCCTTCTTGTCAGCATTTAAATATACATGTAATCCCAGACAGACTTGATGATGTTAAGATCGGGGCTCTGTGGGGGCCAAACCATCACTTCCAGGACTTCTTGTTCTTATTATTATTATTGCACTGCCCTCCAGCCCTTCAGCGAACAAACTGCCTAAAGGTGCCCATACACCTTACGATTATCGGACGAAACTTTTCGTCCGATGATCGAATAGTCGTACGATTTTCGTACGGCAGCCCCATCCTGCCCCGATGATCGCAAGAATAATTTAGCCGTAATTAACGAAAAGCACCTGGACGAAATGCGGTAATTGATTTGTCGTATTTTTGTTCGCGCATGCGCAGTGTAGATCGTACGACTTTTGACGGACGGAAACGCCAGCAACCTTACGACAATCGTACGATCGAGCAAAGTTTTCAAACATGCTTGACCGACAAAAGTCGTATGATTGTACAGTAATGTCGGTTCGGGCATTCTATTCAAACGTACGATGGTCGTTCGAAAAGTCGATCGCATACGATTATTGTCCGATAATCGTAAGGTGTATGGGCACCTTTATGCTACTGCCAAATATTTCAAATTTTTACACATCAGTCCAGAGCACCTGCTGCCATTTTTCTGCACCTCTGTACCTATGTTTTTTCGTGCATAGTTGAGTTGCTTAGCCTTGTTACCATGTCGGAGGTATAGCTTTTTGGCCGCAATTCTTCCATGAAGGCCACTCCTGGTCTGACTTCTCTGGACAGTAGATGGGTGTACCTGGGTCCCACCAGTGGCATAACCAGAGTTATGGGTGCCCGGGGCAGAATTTTTTTTGCCCAATACCCAATACCTTCCTCCCTGATCCCCACAAATCTGCTCTGAAAATAAAATTGCTGTGGTTCCTAGTAAGACCTTATCTGCTTTTTAGATATGCTGACAACAGCTTCTGTATAAATGTGTGAGTTCCATTATTCTAAAGTTCATTTGAGCTGACCTTGCAAATACGTGTGGTCCAGCAATCTTGCAAATAAAAACAAATACAAAATCATGTACAAATTCTTTGTGCACATGTAATAGTTGCAGGATTATCCAAACACAAATATAGGGAACAAAAACTTAAAAAAAAAAAAAAAAAAGGGAAGAGAGAGAGAAAAAAAACCAAATAAATAAAAAGAGAAATGAGACAAGTGTGAGAGAGAAGAGGGTGCACAGAAAAAAGAGTGACCTGCCTCTACCACAAGACAAGTCATAACTCCACCATGCAACAATATACACCACACCATGTACACGTCAATACATTAGTACATATATCCACAGTGCTGTGAATGTATACTCCACACCGACTATTCTTCTGCGATCTCATTTTCCTGGTCAGCCCATGAGAGGATTGGGTAGCTAACTAATAGCTCTTAGGAGGAAGGTCAAGGGGGCACCCCACCAGGGCGGGTGGAGAGCCATTCGGACCAAATGGATGAAAATCTGTGTATGACGCCCCGAGCTTGGTAAGTAATACGTTCGAATTCTATAATTCTTTCCATCTCCTCCTAAGTCGGAGACTGTAGGCGGAGACGGAGAGATCCACCTACGGACAATCAGACGAGTGGCTGTAAACAGAGCCCGCCTAAGGGCCAACACTAGTGGAGGGTGGAATTGTGAATAGTCATCTAATACACCCAGAAGGCACATACTTGGAGAGGGTGTCAGGCGGACATTAAAGACAGAGTTTAGCGTGTGTACAACTTGCGACCGGTATCGCAATAGCTTTGGGCAGCACTTGGGGCAGAAGGGATCCTCACGATGACCTATCCTAAAAAGAAATTCCGGGGTTCGGTATGTCCTATGGACTATGAACATTTGCGAAAGTCTATGAGTGGCCGAGAGGGAGATCTGAGTAACATTCTCCAGGATCTCATCCCATATCTCATCCGGAAAGGTACCCAAATCGTCCTCCCAACCTGTTCTGCTCTGCAGTGAGCTCTGGGCCACCAGTTAAATTAAAAATTGAGAGTACAGTAATGAAATCAACCCATTGGTATTTTCAGAAGTAAACAGTGTGTCAAAAAGTGGAGTAGGCGAAAACCTTGGAGGCCCCTGTGGGAACTGTGCCCGCAGTGCGTGGCGCACCCGGAGATACCCAAACATACAGTTATTGTGGATCTGAAACTCATTCTGTAAATCCTGAAAGGCGCAGACTTCAGCACCCTGTTACAATTGATTCACAGTATGTATACCCGCCTTCCGCCAGGAATGGAATCCCTTTAGATGGAGAAGCTCAGGCAAGCGACCCTTACCCCATATAGGCGTGTACCCTGTTTGATCAGATACTTGCATTAGATTCTTAGCCGCATTCCACACCTGCCCTATCAATTTCACTGTGGGAAAACATGAGTGGGATTTGACATATACTGTAGATCGCTCTCCAGGTAACGCAGTGGGTCTAGCCCCTTGAAAAGATGCAAGACAATGTTAAATGCTTGTGGGTGCACCCCTCCTTGAGACAACCCAGCTAGGTGTTGCAGTTGCGACGCTATAAAGTACAACCAGGGGTTGGGAAGGGCCATACCCCCCGAGACTTTGGGTCTATGTAGTACATCCAGCCTCAGTCTAGCCTGTTTATGCCGCCATATAAGTTCCCTGAAGATGGAGTTAATTTGATCAAATAGACACCTGGGGAGCCAAATCGAGGAGTTATGCAATATATACAAAAGTTGAGGCATCCAGATCATTTTAATCAGGTTTACCCTGCCTGCTACCGACAGGGGCAGTTTGAGCCAAGCCTTGCGTTGGGTTTTAAATTTATGAAGGAGTGGCATCAAGTTAAGAGGGAGATAGTCTGAGAGCGATGTAGTAATGCAAATCCCCAAATACATGATGGAGGTTTGGGTTGGGATAAAGGCGAGCTCCCGGGACAGAGGAGCAGGCAGGGGGTCTAGAGGGAGCAATGAAGATTTATCCCAGTTAACCGCCAAACCTGAGTACTTTGCAAACACCGACAGGTGCTGCATCGCACTGCTCAAGGAGGGGCCAGTATCTGCCAAGAACAGGAGAGTATCGTCGGCATATAGTGCAATCTTCTCCTCATTAGTACCCCGTCTAAAGCCTACAATGTCAGCTGATTGCTGGATCAGGGCAGCCAGGGGCTCTGTAGCCAGAGCGAATAACAACGGGGACAAGGGGCAGCCTTGTCTGGTGCCCCGTTTCAAGGGGAATGAGGGGGAAAACCCATCATTAATTTTAATGCGTGCGACAGGTTGGTGGTAGAGAAGGCAAACCCATTTGCAAAAGTGAGGGCCAAAGCCAAAGGCAGATAGGAAGGTCCAAAGATAGCGCCATTCCACACTGTCGAAGGCCTTTGCCACATCCAGGGCCAGCAGAGCCCTGTTATCTGGATTGTCAATGGTGGCTTGCATATTCATGAATACCCTGCACACATTTACAGCTGTAGACTTCTGAGGCATAAAGCCAGACTGATCTGGATTCACTATCGAGGAGATTTTGGAGGAGAGTCTATTGGCTAGTACTTTCGCCAGAATCTTGATATCCGCATTTAGCAAGGAAATCGGCCGGTAGGACTCTGGTAGGAGAGGGTTTTTGTGCTTCTTAGGGAGCACTATTATGGTAGCATCGTACATCGTACGTGGGAGCTCACCACTGGAGATGGCTTCATTAAGCGTCAGTAGCAAGGTAGGGAGGAGGGAGTGCATGTATGACTTATAGACTTCCATGGGGAGGCCATCAGGACTGGGAGCTTTCCCGTTAGGAAAGGTGCGAAATGCCTGCTCCAGTTCCTCTGCAGTAAATCGGTTCCTCTAGGGCAGCCCGGTCCGCCACAGCTAAGGCGGGTAGTGTGATACTGCCCAGGAATGATTCTAGCTCATCCTCCGTATACTGCGCTCGGGAGGTGTACAGGGATTTGTAGAAGTTGCTAAACGTGTCCAATATCAATTCAGGGACTTGAGTAGTGGCCCCAGTAGGGTGCATGACTGCCCCAATATGGACTGTGTCTTGTTGGGGTAGTAATTTGCCTGTAGCATCACCCTCCGCCCAAAACACTCGTTTTGAGAAAAACAGTTTACGCTGTGATTTCTGCTTAAGCAGGGTCTCCAGGTGCGCCGCCGCATCCCTCCAAACTCGGCGAGTGGTCTCAGAGGGTTCCCCTACATACTCCATCTCTCTCGTCGCCACTAGCTGGCGGGCCTCCTCCTCTGCACGCCTAGAGGAAGATTTAACATAGCTAACATTTTTAATAAACAGACCTCTCAAGTATGCTTTTAGGGTGTCCCACACCACTCGCAGAGGGGGTATTAACCGACAAACAAAATGCTATGTCATCCTCCAGCAGTGTTTGAATATCTATCAGGGACAACCAGAAGGGTTGTCCCTGACTTACAGCACTCTGGAGCTGGTGGTGCTGCCCCGTGTCATGCAACCTGGTAATGGTGAAAGCTCAGTCACCTCTACCCTCTCCTCCTCATTAGCCTCATCTTGTGAATGATTTAAAACCCCAGTGTCCCC